ATGTCTGAGAATTGTCAGAATAATAACTAATCCTGGTTTTCTCACAGTGACCTGATTTGAGTAGGAGGCTGGACTACATGACCTTCTGTGGCCCTTTCCAACCTAAACCTACTCATGATTTGATTTTCTTTTTCTTTATTATTATTACCAAACAGAGATGAAAAGCTTTGTTCTGTTTTTAGAAGCTGGCACAAACTTATTGACTAACTATAGTTCTTGCCTATGTGCCTTAATTTAAAATACTTAAAGTCTAGGTGCAGGCACTCTCACTGAAATGAGCAGTATATGTGTTTCATTTCTTTGGGACCTAGATTTCCTTTCCAATTAGTTTTCACATGCAGCAGTCCCTTCTGAATATGATCAGCTGAAGGGTAGAAAAAGACTCACGTTTTAATACTCACAGCACAATATTCTCTGTATGAAGCAGATGTTGACAATCCAGACAAGCAGAACTTGCAGCTGACAAAAGCCTGTTTCCTGAACAAATATACTGACGAGCATGCCAGGCTCCAAGGGTTAAGCCACACTATAAAACAGTTGGTGTTTCCTGGAAAGTCTCCAGATTATGCTGGACTACTATCTTGTCTCTTCTTGCTCCCACTTACTAGCTCCTTCACAAAATAAGTAGAATGGCCATTAACTAAAATACTCACAAAAACATTTGCTCATTACTATTGGTTTCCCAAGCTGCACTGTGCAAATAAGTGTTTTTCAGTTTACTACTTATAAACTGATGCCAAAGTGGGGTTTCCTTCTTTCTTTCAAAAGCCTTGAGTCATGCTTTATACTGAAAATTAAGGGTTATATTTTCAGACAACCTAAGGCCAGGTGTTCTTGGCCACAGTGTAACTGGTATGCACGAAGTACATCAAGGAGACAAGCCTGTTTGGTGATACCAGTATTCTAGCAGGGCTAGTACTCAGTGGAGCTACACTTCATGCAGCTTCTACCTGTCTGGTGAGCACAAAAATGGGCAGATTTGGTCCAATGCTACTGCAAAATTAACAGAGAGCTGCAGTACGCAATGACAATATATTGTTATGAATTGCATGTACTACAGTCTTGTTTAAAGTAGTGATAAGTCATGTAAACCCTAGGTTTCAGTATTACAGTGATAAGTAATACTCCAATGTCTTCAAGATTCATGCAACAGTAACCAAAGCAGTTAGATCTTACTGTTTGTGAATCTTGTCATGTTTCCCAAAGCCACAATACTTTCTGTTTGCTACCATCCCTCTTCAGATCATGCCTCAACTTACAAGATAATCTTTCCTAAGCAGGATAATTTTATCTTTAACTTGATACACATTTATGTCATGATGTAACTAACAATGGAATTAAATCCTCAATTTACTAAAAATGTCAGCAAATTAGACTGGACTTTAAGATTTGAGAAGTCACAGCAATTCTAAAACACAGTTATATAGTTACATCTCTGTAGTTCTTCTGCTGTTTTCTTGGACTTCAATGTTTTCTTGGACTGACATAGTGCATTAACTTACAATGGATGTACATCTTTTTGATCCTATGCATGATTTTGAGTTTAGAAGTGTGCACCATTGAGCCAAAGACAACTAAGTGAACAGACTAAAAAAAAATTTCACACTACTTAGTTAACCTGCATTTTGCAGCTTTGCATATTTATTAGCTTTTCATATTTAAAATATTTACTTGTATTAAGACTATAACAGTGAACAAGAGAAGAGTTACAGATGTCATTTATCTGGACTTCTGTAAAGCCTTTAACATGGTCCTGTGCAACATCCTTCCCTCTAAACAGGAGAGAGATGATTTGATGGGTGGACTGTTAGATGGATAAGAAAGTGCTTGGACAGTCACATCCAGATGGTAGTGGGCAACAGCTCAGAGTCTCAATGGACATCAGAGACAAGTGATGTCCCTCAGGGGTCCATACAGGGACAGTGTCATTTAATATTGTCATTAATCACATCAACAAAGGGATCAGGTCCACCCTCAGCACGTCTGCAAATGACACCAAGCTGAGTGGTGCAGTTGACACATCTGAAGGTCAGGATGCTATCCAGCAGGACCTGGACAAGCTCGAGAAGTGGGCCCATGGGAATCTCATGAGGTTTAACAAGACCAAGTGCAAGGTGCTGCACCTGGGTCAGACCAATCCTCAGTGACAATACAGGCTAGGGGATGAACAGATTGAGAGCAGCCTCGCCAAGAAGGACTTGAGGGTGCTGGTAGATGAGGTGCTAGACATGAGCCAGCAGCATGCACCTGTAGAAATAATAGTTTGGTATAGAGTAATACTCATGTATCAGGCACCTTAAAGAACTGCAGTCTGATTAAAGTCTAAAAGTACAGAGCTGCTTTGCTTGCTTGTGCAATACTTAATATGAAACATGAGAGCAACCTCAAGTATATAAATAAAACAGGAGCAATTACTCAGGTGAACAGGAGGAACATTTAAAAATAAGAGGTAAAAAAATTAATTATAGCAAATATATGGGAGAACATCAAGACAGCACGATTGATCAGACCACCGAACATTCTGTCTGCTGATTTCTCCATTGCTTGTAACTCAATCTCCCTTTTTGACCTAAAGAGGAGTAAACACCTTACCAGGAGGAGACCAGCCTGAATAGTAGGAGGTGGCCTGAATAACCCAAGTCTCCTTTCTCTAACTGCTCATAGTATGAGTCATGTTACACTCGAGCCACAGGGTAACATACATAACACTAACAGATACACAAATGCAACATTCCCATATGGTAATAACAGTTAAATCAATTGGTACTGGCAGTAAGAAAACATCACTATGTAATGTACGTGAAATCAAGTAGAGTATCCTCTTATGTTGCTGGCTTCAGTAGGAAAGAAATGAAATCATCTTTTACTGGCATTCCAGCTTGTATCTCTACAACTCTGCAAATACTGGGAAAGTGATAACGAATTCATCATCAACTGGAGTTGTACCACAGCCATATGGCCAGATGAGCAGCATTCCTGATAAACATGAAACTGAAGTACTTAGTAGGAAAACAAAATTTAACTCCATTTCTACTGCAAATGTGTAAAAAGAAGTTTTACTGTAGTGTGGAGCATAAATAGTAGCTGTAAAATGTACAGAAGTAGAAAGCATGTGACAAAAGCACTGTATTTGACCCTACTCTGCCAAAAATATCCTTACTTCCTGTGCTTAGTGTAATCCATCACAATATACAATCATCTTAGCTATATAATCCAATACTTACTTTACACATTTGTGTGAGTCTATATACCAAGAACATTAAGATGAAAGGATTTATTAACAGCCTCTCAACCTACATTTACAAGGATTATGGTTCTTCAGTCTCCCAATAGTGCTAACCTTACATTTTTTTCTCTTATTTCCTCAGTTTTAAAGTTCAATTACAAAATTTCCAACATTAGGAAAACACCATAATTTTTAAAGACACAGAGTCTCTTCCTTAGCCGTCACAACCTGCTTCATTTGACCCCTGTAACCAGTGTCTCTGCCTCTCACTACATCATAGGGATCAAATAAGCAACAAAACATTATGAGTCTAATGGGACAACGTGCTAACTAAAATATGATAATGGAATGGGATCCTAGACCAGCCCTGTGTACAGTAATAATTAAAATACACTGTAAGTCAGGAGTTTTATATGGACAATCTCTGTGGCTTCCTCACCTGCAAAGATAACCAGGTCTGGGAAAGACTTAACCCAGGCACTGAAAACACACTAACACACCTTCTTCCAAGAGCTTCTTAGGCTAGAGAAAGGAGTTTATGCTCTGGCTGGTGTTCTATACGACAGCACAGAAGCAGTATTAAGCTTTGGCATTCAGTGTGGAGAGTTCAAACCTGCAGTTTTCTACATATTTATTTTTCTCTCTGAAAACACAGGCAGGGAATTCCACACCATGGGAGAAGAGGACCTTAATCTTTAGGATCTACTGGAGCCCATGAAAGAGTACTACAGTCCTTTCACACTGAATTTGTATTTGTGGCAACAGCTTTCCTGATACGTAGTGAAAAACAGAAAGTAGAGATTTGATAAAAGATCTTCATATAGATTAGGCAATAACTCTTAGGAATGCCCACCACAGTGCCTTTGAAAAGGTAAATTTGACAGGCAAATCCTTAAGCAGTGACCTGAATTGCAGTGACTTTTAATCCTACAATTCTAAAAGGAATGGCATCTTTACCACCTGTTGCTCACCCACCTCTCCTACAAATTTTGAAACCTGCAAAAGTGTCCAGGATGCACAACTGAAACGACAAACATTTCAACTTAAAAGACAACAAAAACTCTCTACCAGTGACTTGTCCCCTCATTGGGATCTAAAAAACTGAACTCAAATTTGAAACTCCATTTCCTTTTTCAATTCAGCATCACTACTTAAGTCTTAGAACACCATGATAAAGAAATTTGAGTATTTCTTTTATTTACTTCTGGTAATTGTCATAAGATGGTCTAATGCTGAAAATCTTGGTATCTAACACTGTTCTGCTTGCACCACGTTTATCATAGTTTGGCCCCAATATTAAAAAAAAAAATATATTCCAGTTAATTGTTCCAGCTAACAATGCCACATGTAACTACATTTAATTTTAATACTGATCACAGCTACACTGGGTGTGCCACCTGCAGATAGGTTTATAATCATAATCTTTTCTACCATGTGCACAACAATTAGTTATTCCATGATCAGTATCATTTTCATGCTGAAGCTCAAACTGCAGCTTGTCATGGTTCTTCTACAACACACCTCTTGGTAAAAGCCTTAGTATCACACTAGGAAAAACAGTTTCACAGTTTACTGAGAGAAACACTGAGTGTTTCCCTGAAGTCTTGCCAAACAAATTAGGACTGACATAGTATTGCTATCTTTCAGCCTTGGCTGGCAGAGCTGAGACAGAGTTTCCCCTTCAGCTGGGATGAAATAGCTCTTTTTTAAGTCAGAAATAGGATTTAATTTAAGGAAAACTCATAAAGATTTTTGTGGCATGGACTACACTTACCTCCTGGGCAATGCCTCATGGCCATTTTACACCTCCTGGATTCTGCAATGGTTGGGCATGGTATCGTGTCTTTCGCTGGCTTCTTCACAATTTGTCTTGTCCTCGTCTCCAGGCCCCACTTAAATCCACATGTTTTGTTATTTCTGCTGCAAGTTCCCCACTCGCTCCACTGACCCACTTCACAGCCTTCTGATAAAACAAAAGAAAACATGAGTCAGTAATTCTTCTGGTTTGCTTTTTTCTTTTTTTCTTTTATTTTCAATTAGAATACACTATACACAGTTAAAAAGCACCACTTGAAAGTTTTACTTAACAAGCAGAAGCAAGAAACAAAATTCAAATCTCTTACAGAACCTGAATGTTTTTAGCCAGCATCAACCTAAGCAAAAAAAATCAGACTATCAAACTGTATCTAGAGATGTCATGTCAGACCCAATATACTGAAAACCCTCCTAAAATAGTGAGATTTATTTATTTTTTTCTCTTTCTAATAAACAAATAAATCCTATTTGGTTGTCACCTGGATTTGCAAAGCTCAAAAGTTCACATTTCAAGGTCCTCTCCATCATGAAATGCAAGCAATACTCTTGAAAGAGAGTCTGTTCTGACACAATTCCCTCTCTTCTTATGAATTCTGAGTTATAAATCCTCATACAAGGTGATTCTAAAGTTAAGAGGACAGAACCTTCTGAGGTACAACAGAGGGGCACTCCCAATAATGCAATATTTTAAAGTTTGGAAATAGTAGTAGTAGTAAAGAAATACAGACACAATTTATTAGTGAATATTTCTTGATAGGAAATACTAAGCATCAACTCGAAAACAGTGCCATATTTGAACCTGGCTGCTCAGCAAAAGAGCTGCTTCAGCAGCGCTGCTGTGCAAGAAGACTCACCCACACACTCCATAAGCTCTTCCAAGGCTGCAAATCCAGGGGGGCATCCTCGGAAGCAGCGGCCTCTGTGCGAGTAAAAGCCAGTTTTGCATTTGGTACAAAAGTCTCTGCTAAAGCAGGAGTCACAGTTTTCTATTCTGCATCCTGAATCAAAAGGGTCATAAGGAACAATGAAACAGCAAAGTTAGGGTAACACTAAAAATGAAGGGAATTCCAAAGTCATAAAATAGCAAATCCAGAAGTGCTATAATGAGGAATACTATAGTCCTGAAATCTATCTGCTCTATAGCCGAAATTAAAGGTAACTATAATTACTTACCACATTTTTGCCTACATCCTTTCAATCCTATTTTTTTTACATCAAAACTGTAGACAAAACCTCTAGTCTAGTTTAGTTATAGTTTAGTTATATTTGAGTTAATTAGAACTTCTGGAGGAAAAACATTCATTGTAAATAATTCTTGTGTTTAAGCAATTTTGATGAAACTGAGATGCAACACATGATTTTGGGAAGATTTCATGTATTACAATTATTGTCTTTAGTTGATCATTTATTACAGAAAGCAAGATAATCTTTTTTTCCATGAGTTGACCCTATAAATAGCTGAGTGGATGCTTTAATGTAGAGTATCTGATGTCTGTGTCTACAAATAAGGATGTGCTACTGAGCAAAAACTCTCAATTTTTCTGGATTTAACTCCTCTCTTATTAAGACACAAAAAAATAACTATTATTAAACTTCTAAGAGACATAATGCTATAACCAATAGCAAAAAAACCCGACAAACCAAACAACTATTGCCTTTAATGAAATAGTCTATTCCTCTGAAACCTTTAGAGAATTATCATAACATATTACAGATTCAGACCCAGCCTGTTCAGAAACATCCTATTCCATATTAAAACATGGCAGCTTAGAAAAGAACTAGACATCAATGATCATATGCACACCATACGTACCTACAAAAAATACCAGGGAAAAATGTGCCAAAGACTAAAAAGTATTAGCCACTATATTTGGAACAGCAATGATCACTTTACAATTAATTTTTAAAAATCTGGTTCTTCAACTAACATATTTTATATAAACCACATCAACTGTATCCTGTCTTCAGCTATCTGAAGTCATAGCAAGAAGCATTCGGTACTCATGTCATGCAACAATATACTAATAATTTTGGTCACATGTCATTCATGTATTCTTCATTCTTTTATAAAGGAAAAAATCATTAACCATAAAGACTTCTGAAATAGCTATTGGTAAATATCCCCCATGAACACTTCAAATTTAACCAATCTTTGTAAAACAGCTTTTAATATTTATTCTTGAACTTCAGCAGGTCCAAATAGGACACACCATAACACTTAAAACTGCAAGTGTGTGAGTTTGAGTGTGTAAAATTCTTTGTTAGCAATTAGGGAAATACGAGGTTTTTTTAGATCGGATTTCTTGTGGCATTGGAAAATAAATTAGGCAGACTGAAAGAAAAGATAAAAATAGATATTTCTAATGGTGGTAGACCTTTTTTTTGGCTAGAAGGAATGCAAGAATCAGTTTGAAGCCTCACACTGCCAAAGGTAAGCTCTACTGGCTCTGTTTAGACACAACCATACATGACCTGCATGCTACCAGCTCCTGTGTCCAGCATCTCTCAAAGGGGTTTTAGAACTTGTGTTCATATAAGCAGGACAAGTTGGGCTTCTTGTCCATAGTTTAGTTTATAGGAAATTCCCAGAAATGATTTCTTTTTCACAAGGGTTGAACAAGTCCCCAAAGAACAGGAGGTCAACATCCATACAGTGACCCTGCAAAATCACCTCCCCAGATTAATGCACTGCAAGGCAAAAACAATTAGATGAGCTGCTCTGCAGATATACCACAATACTTACTTGCTAATCTGGTCACTCTCAAGGTATATTGCAAGTATTTTATTAAATGCAATGCCTGAGTCAAACATACTGTGTGTTTAAATACTCAGAAAAAACCACATTTGTTCTCTCGTCCACCTACATGAGACATTTTGTAAAGACATCAAGGTTTTTCCAAATCATGTAGTACATTGATGAGGTGCAGAACAGAAAGAAAAAATAGCATCTTGCGATGCTCTCTCACATCCAAGTGATGCAACATTTTTAAATAAGGTTTCAACTGTTGCTTTCAAAACATGTTGGGGAGTAACATGCTAAAGGGCTTTTTGTGCATGTGGAAGAGAGACTAAATGAAAAACTTTCAAAACGAGCTGCCTTTTGATATGATATAGACACACTTAGCAGGTAAAAGCCTGCCTCAGTGGGATACCCTCCATAAAAACTATCTCTATTTAACATGTATTAATACCCTATATTTAAACATTAAGTGAATGAATCAATCTTTTTTCAGTTTCTTGATCATACTTCAGAACTCTCATCCTATTCACATTTTTGGCTTTACTTTTTATGTCAATTTTCTTTTGTGTCACAGTAGAGTCCTTGTCATGATAACTGCATTTTAGAGGCATTAGTAAGGGATTCTTAGGTGGTGGTTGGGTGGGGATTTTCACCAATGCATTTTATTTTCAGTTTCTTTCCTATGAAGATAAATTACTTCAAATATGAAACACCTACTATTTAATCTGTATCAGACACAATTTAGGGGAGAATACTGAAACAATTTTAGGGCCATTCTAAGAATTCTGAAATGAAAACATTCATTCACCAGAGTGATATTCATCACAATGTTTTGGGTTACTGGGTGCTAATCATAATGATAACTTAATACAATAACAGACCATACTGCAGCTGAAAAGATCAACAGGGAGTGACAACAGCTCCTTTTTGACATCCTCCATAGACTCAGTTTCAAATCATGTAGGTGCTGCTGCAGCTAAGCCTTGCATACAATTTTTATCAAATTGAATAACCTAAAAAGCTAAAGAGCAGCAATAGTCCAGAAGTTAGAAAAACTAACCATCTAGAAAACTATTTTCTGTCACAACAGCGGTTAAGAAATACTGAAAATTTTATAGAGTATATTATTTATGGTGCCTGGCTTCATTTTTTACATGGCTTAAATGCTTTGGGGATTTTTAACTTTTTTTAATAAAGGTGCTATTAGTAAATTATTTCAACCATTACCAAGGTTAGTAAATTAGAAGAAATGAATTCTTAAGATTCTTTTGTTTTTAAAGTTCAATATACCACTGTAAAGAGATAAGGAAACTGTACACATTTTTAGTTGGATTCCTAAGGAAGTCGATACTTCACTAAGAATATTAAGAGATCTTTGTTTAGAAATAAATATAATTGTGTTGAATTTTGCATTTTTTTGTTAAATCAACATCATTATCTATGTAAACTTCATTAAACCTAGGTCTCAATAGAAGTATATTGCAGATTTCTAAATTTCTTTGCATTCTATTATATAAATAATAAATCAGTTAACAATGATTAATCTACTGTGAAATCTACAGAAGACCTGTTTGACATAATGTGCGATAATGCTATAACAGACCCCAAGGAGATAGTGCTTAATATCCTGAACTGCTTTCTTCTGATTGCCACAGTTTTCAACCCTTCAGACATTCTGATATAGCACCTTATGACTAACTCTGGAGAAGGAAAGCAAAATCTTTTCTGCTTTTAAAAATCCTTGCCCATACCATACCTGCAGGGCAACAATGGCAGAGTTGAAAACCTGAGAGTCAGAACCTGAGAGTGAAGAAGCTTCATTGCTGCTGTTCTCACTTAGCTTGCAACAAGAGGTCTGTAGGTCAGGGCAGACACTTGAGCCCCTGCCTCTTCCTTCCATTATATTCAATCTGCAGTGTCTCATTAGGCATCTGCTTTCTACCCGACCCCAAATCCGTTCTGCTCCTGCTCAGCATCATAGCTCCCTATATCACACTAGCTCTCCTATCCTCTACACACAGCCATGACTTCTAAAATATTTGCTTCCAAGCTTTCACTTGAAAGGTACAAAACACCCTTGGAAGCTATCCCCATATGAAGACCCCACATCTTCTTCTGTTATCATCCTCACATAACTGGAGGATTTAAAAGGCACTCAGGAAGGCCCAGAGAAACCTGCTGGTTTGTCTGATTAGCACACTTCTAAACAGATGATACTTTTTAAAACATTGCATCATACTTCCCACAAGAGTGGGGCTAAAAGAACAACATTCTGACCTCACTGAAATCCATGGCAAAGGTCCTAATTTCTTCTAAATGCAAGGGCAGTTTTAAACTAGTAACTTTCTTATTGCATCAGATAGACCAGAGTCCACTGTAATTACTTTAATGGACAAAATTAATATTGAAAATGCTAAAGAAATATAATCTTTCATGATAAAAACAGATTTTTTAAGTGAAAAGTGAGAACTGAAGAAAAGCAGTACTCCAAAAGTTAGAAAAGCTAATTTTCTAAAAGTCTATTTTCAATCACAAGCTGTCACAGGAGTGGTTGTAAATTCACAGCTCCATGACTTCACCTCCCAGGGGAAAGGGTGGAATAGAAGTCACTACTTTGCCTGGTGAAGCTAAACTAGGCTGAAATTAGGCAGAAGTGATTTGCTCAATTATCTTGAGTGTTCAGACTTTATTAAGTGAATCAAATACTTATCACTTCGACAGAGTTCTGGAAAGTTGATTTATGAGGCAAGATACGTATCTTCTCCAATGGAAAGCCTATTGATACTCTGCAATCTCTTAATTTAGGCTGACAGGAGAGTAACAACATGACTGACTGACTGACATTTCAGTAGAGCACAAGTGTAGCTCATAGTATGTAAAAGTGCCTCCACGCTTCAGAGCAGTTACAGAACATGCTCAAGAAAGAATCATAACTCCATGAGCTAATACTGTGTCACTTCTCAGTCAGGAAACCTACCAAACTGAAGTACCATATTCTTTGGAGAGGAGAAAAAGAGTCATAATATTTCCATTTAAAAAGGACATTGTCATAAAAGAATCCAAAGACAGAAATTAAAAACATCTTTGGTTTCTGAAAAAAGAGTGGCAAAAGATAAGTTATGTACAGGACTTGGGAGCCAAATCTCTGTTGCCCTTAGCTTTCAAAGAGCTCTAGCACCCCATGGCAGTTTTGCACATGCACCAGATTTTGGAAAATAAAGTAATAACTATGAACCGTTTCACTTAAGGTTAAGGCAACCAATATGATATATAACAAGTGCATTTAGCTAGCCAGCAATAAAACATTTTTTACTTAGGATTTAACATCTCATTGACTCAAATATTCCTCTGCCATTTACTTGAATATCATTAAAAAATCTGATTGACATGGATGAAACTCACAATATTTATAGAAAACTACATAAATGGTGCATTAAACAACTCTGGAAGGACAAAGTCCAGATTACAAATCATGCTCAAATTAGAGCTACACTTTAAGAAGATGAATCACAGCGATATTAAAAGATTTTCATGACCTGCTTTGGCTTCCTGACAGACATGATAAGCCACTCCTACACACTCTTCTTTTAAAATGAGCATTAAAGAATTGACAGACTTACATTTCAGAAACGGAAACAAAAGCTCAGCACTTCAAAATACAAATTTAGATACTGAATTGAATTTAAACTGGAGTGCATGTCCCTGATTTTGTAAAAAAGTAGTGAACATGCTCCAGTAAACAGCTTCTTTCTGTACTATCATTACAGAGAGCACATTACCAAAACAAGTTCTGTCCTTCCACTGTAAATTTATCACATTTATAAGGTGATGCAGAATAAGCTAAATTGTAGGGATATACAATGTGGCATTTCCATTGTCACGTTGTCCCTTTCTAAACCTAATAAATGTGATGACCTATCCATCCATAACTCCCTTCATAAGAAATATATTTTGTAGTATGTGTAGTGGAAAAGACAGCTGGTCAATTCCTAGCAATCCTAGTACAACAACGATTTACAGCAAGTTCTGCTCCACATAAGCTGCAGACACCAGTGAAGACCAGTTACGTATAGGAAAGTGAAGTGAGAACACACGAGGATTTCCATGAGTGGAAACCAGCAACCATCAGAAAGAGAACTGTCATGAACTGCACTCAATGCTTGCAAGACTGAGAAAAGATGAACATATTTTGCATAGAGAAACTGCAGACTGAAGCTTGGAAAGGAAACATGGTATTCGTAAACAGAAGGGTTTGGCAGTTTTTGCTCAGGAATTGGGTCCTTGCTCGAGGCATTCCCTTGTGTTTAAGAAGTCAAATAGATGATGTTTTAGTACAGCTAGCATTTCCCTTTTGAAGATCAATCCCATTCTTTCCATTGAGGCATGATTCCAGAGAAGACTCTGGGCCCGTAACTTGTGAGGTTGGCTGTCCTGGGGAATGTCAACTGCTGCTTGGACCAAAGCACCTAATACTTCGGTCTTTCACACTGAACTCTGCCTCACAGCACCCTACTCTTCTTGTCTCAGATCTCTGTCTCTTCTACAATATCACCTATCCACAGGCTATGACCATCACACTCACTCCTTCCAACTCCTGCTGCCATCCCACTGCTGCTCATTAAAACAGCATTGGTGCTACAGACCTAACTTCACACTCCCATCCTGACATGTCCATTGGCACTCTGCACCGATCTGTCATTGGCCAGCACCACCTTCCATGCTCCTGAATTTTGTGGTAATTGAAGCCCCTGACAGACTGTTACCATTGCACTGGCTACAAAAGTTTGAAAAGCTCATATGCTCTGCTATACTACATAATCATAGCCAAGCAATGACATATTAATGGTGTCTTGCTATTTTGCAACAACGTCAAAAAAGCCATTACCTTTCTTAATGCACTGAATTAACTACGTGTCTTTAATAAATGCTCAAATTGTTTAAAAGCTTCTCTTTATCTTGTTTCTACTGAAGGAGAATGGAAGGGGAAATCACAGTTTCACCAATGTCAGGCACTCCTGGGAGAAAGAAGGAGAATCTAAACAAAAGGAGTAGCCAACCAAAGCTGAAGGGAGCTGTAGTTTCTAAACTCTGAGTGGTTCCTCCCCCTAAAATTTTAAAGGTTACTATGGCTACAGACTAAATTGAAAGGTTCAAGATAGGCTTGATCCATTAAACAGTCCAACCACCAAGGTGACAAATTTCATCTTGCTCATTCATTCAGCTTTGGTTTTTTTCTCATGAGAATATCTCATTGGAGCAGTTCAGTTCAAGGTCATTCATTATTAGAATTTCTTGGAAAATTAACAAAGTGTAGCTCTTCTCTTGCACATTCTTCTACAGAAGAGACTCAACATTTTCCAATTTCATGTCCAAATGTACTGCATTCTCATACTGCAGTGTTCAAGGTGGAAATCATGTCCAGCAGGAAACTGTACATTGATTTCTAGAGACAAGCAGTCTCAAATTTCATGATTCACTGTTACTAGAAAAACAGTCTAGAACCACTTAGAAAATTAAAGACACATATACTGCTTACATGTAGAAAAGAAAATTAGCCTTGAAATTCAAAATTTCCGTCATTTTAGAGCTGCTGCACTTGGCTGTGGTATTTATTGTGTTACATTTGGCACTAACTATGTTTGGCTTTTAAAATCATGTCAACATTTTCCATAAAAATATGTTCTATAGCATTGCTAAAACAAATGGGCAAGTGTTCCAGTAATAAAATGTTAAACAGCTTTTGTGCCTATAAAGACATTAATAGGGCAGAAATCATTTCAACTTATGTAATTCAAGCCCAATAACTCCCAGAAGGATTCTAACATAGCCAAAATTTTTATTGTTTTTAGCTGAGATAATACTATCTGAGCAATGAAGTCTGTAACTAAGCGTACCTAAAAGTATCTAACATCAAGTAGGAATAAACCTATTCTATTTTTAAGAAGGTTTATTTCAACTGAACTTCAATCCACAAAATATCTGTGTGTCCACAATACTTCATATGGTCCATGCAGGATCACCGAACTAAGAAAAAATAAGAAGATGTAATTTATAAATACACCAGTTGGCAGTTACACTAAAATAAAAATATACAATACAAAAATCACTGGAGGGGAACCAGGACTGGTCGATAAATGCAACTGCATCATTATTCTCACAAGGGGAGATTGTCAAGACAAGGGGATGAGATAATATCAAGCGTTCAACACATGCCAATATGGGTTGGATAAAACTTGCATTTATGCTTTTCAAAATCATTCCTGTAATTCAGGGAAAAAGGTCACTTTCTGTAAGTGAGAAAATGAAAAAATGTTATATTGAATTCATCCTATACTGTTTGCAATTAACTGTTTTGTTTATTTTAAGTAAAGAATACTGCCAGTACAGACTACTTTTCCTATCTCGCAAGCACAAAACAGGCTAATACAGATAAAATACTCTATTTCCCAAATCTGTAAATATATTCAAAAACATTTTTACATGGGGAAGTTTTTGCAGCCCAGTTTTGAAAGGTAGGCATGCTGCTGAATTCACAAATGTGTTATGAAAATCAAGGTCAAGATTCTAAATTACTTTACAGACGGGATACACAAACCATATACTGGCCTCATTTAATTTTTTCATCAAAACCTAGCCACCTGGTACAGATTAGGCAGCACTCTGCAATATTACACAGCAGTTGGGAAGAATACTATATTCATGGAGCCCACACAGGGAAGGGGGAGAAAGAGTCGGGATGGGTTGGGACAGGTCCAAGCATGGCCCTAAGTGCTCCTCATCCAGCCCAGACTGCCACTGCGCGGCCTCACGAGGGTCTGAGATTACGTGTGAGGTGAAAGGCAGCACCCGCTTTCTCACAGCACCCTGCGTCCCAACGACATGGCACAGGACTCAGAACGGGACTGACCTACATTGAACAGACACTCAGTTATTCCAGGAAACAAAAAAGCTATTTCTCACTTCAGGTTCTTAGGTTCGGTGACCTGATTCTGGTCAGACTATGACAAAAACATTCCCCTCCTAAATATGAATTAGAGGTAATAGCAATGATTAATAATCCATATGGGTAATACTCCACATATGAGCATATGGAAAAATCAATATGAATCGGCACAACTGCCAGACAGAGGTGAAATAATGCAAGATACCAGAGCAGTCGTTGATTTTAACAGTTATGCTTTCAGGCACAAACACTCAAACAAGGAATCTTGTTGCACATTAGCAGTTTGTAAATTTCCAAATAAAATGCTTCACTAAAAGTGAAAGTTTGTTTGTTTGTTTTTAATAGTACATCTGTTTTATTAAATTAGTAACACTTACATATTAAAGCATGTCTGGTGCGAGGTGTCTGGTCACCTGAAATTTGTGTGGGAACAAAATGTATGACAAGAAGCCCACCCATATATTAGTGCCTATGCATCAACTATTTAATCTGCTGAACGTTACATATCTTAGAATGAGCTGGGACATTCTTTAGAAGTAAGTTTTATAATGATCTAGAGACATCTGTGAAAATATCACTATGTTCCACAACATATCATCTTAAAAACTGAGCATGAATTATGGCCTTCCTACAAAAGTGAATGTAAGAGTTCAAAAAATAACTCACTTGAACATCTGTTCATATCTGGCGTTCGAAGTCCATAGTACCCCGATGGGCACGAATGCAAGCATTCACCATACTGTCTCATTCCTTCTCTTCGCAGGAAGAAGAATAACTTGTGTTGGCATCTGATGCACCCATTATCCTTTGAACAAGATAAACAACCTTTGCAAATTGGATTTGGTCCATAGCTAGCTGCAAAATAAGCAGATAAATTACACTTTCAGATAATTTGAAAATTATTTTGGCTGAAGGCCCTTTCTTTCTAAAGTGTTACTTATCTTCTGCATGATTACAAGACGTTTTGAAAGAATGGTTCTGAAAGTGCACTCACTTTCATACATCTGCACTGGCACTGAATAGAAAGAAATACAATCTGTATATTTTCTATATTACGTAGGGCAGTTTAATGAATTTACACACATTGAAAATACAGGTACAGGCAAGCAGAGACTTATAGGAAGTTCACCAGCATAAATTTAAGTAAAAATGCAATGTTGGATTCTAGTTTGAAGCTGAGGACATAAGCACACAACAGATTTTTTAAAAATGTAAAAAAAATAAATTTAAAAACCCGAAACAAAACAAACCAAAAACAAACAAAAAAAAAAACCAAAAATATCAAAACAACAACACTTAGCACCCTGATATATGTATCTGGAATGACATGTCCATGGAAATCCAGCAACCACACTAATGTAATTTCTGGCTTGTGAAGTGAGCAGTATTGAGACTAGAGAATCTCTGGGAACACGCACAGCACTAGCAAGATGTGCTTGTCCCCTAGCTCTCAGGTTCCTAGAACATCTGTCCTTGCAGCTTCTTCTTGGTCTTTCTAATAAGTATATCAAGACAACGTTTTCCAAAAGAGAGTAGCAATTGTAACCCCTATGAGTGTTTTTCTACAACTTTCTACTCAAAATGGGCTGAAAACCATATGCACAGATGCCCAAAGGATGGTATCTAGTAGAGATTACCATTTTAGGTCACCAGCTGCTATGCAGTCAGGCCTATGCTCTGATTTTGTTGGATTATTTTCTTTCTTTCTTTTAAATTATTTGGCTGGTAACTGCACCATGAACTTCAGCAGCATCACTCTTTGTCCTTATGAGCTTTTATTATCCTGCCTCTCTGCAGAGTAGCAGAACACTCCTCTGTCCCCATGGGCTGTCAACTCCTTCTCAGGCACTGGGTCAGCACAGCAGGTTAGCAGAGGGAGGATGGCTCAAGACATTCCTGAAAACAGCATTACTTCACAGGTCTGTTTTAAATATTAAATTGGCTACAGGACTTCACAGAAATTTGCCAGTTCAAACCTGGTTTACTGGAAACAAAAGAAAAAATATTATGCAACAGAGGAAAGTGTCTTTGGGGTCTCAATAGTTTTTTAATAGAGGCCATCCGGAGAGCAGCTGGCCAAAAGGGCAAAGACTATGTTCAATTGTTATACTTTAAATATTTGAAAGTATTCACACCCTAATGTAGTGATATACCTTTGCCTTGTATGGCTGGATAATTGAGGTTGTTCAATTGATGACTTCACCAGCAGAGCCAGGAAAAGAAAAAAGGAAAAGCCCACCACCCTCTGGAACCAGTAGCTGATAAGCTTTACTCTCACCTTCACACATCTGCACACCACATTCCCGTTCCCACTCTGTTCCCATCCCCCCCGCCCCATCACTCGCTAAGTTCAGCATGACAGCATTCAACTTCAATCTTGTACAAAATAATCCTAGTGGGTGGCAGGCAGGACAAGAAGCCAAGCAATCTGGTGTGAAACAGCTCAGTCAGTGGGACCGTTTCTGAGTACTGGAGTCCTCTGGCACCAGTTTTACCTGGTGAGATCCTTTTGATGGAAATAGCATCTTCACCTTTTGTGGTATATGCATGATTCTTCAGCACTCTGTTAACCCTTTCTGTAATGAGACACCCTACCAGACCTTATACTCCTAAAGCTTACCATCTCCTGTTGCCCACAAGACCTCAGATATAACTTTTTCTGCAGTTTGTCTTGTAACTATTCACATTCACAATCCACATCGTCAAACACTACAAAAAGAACAGATGATGAGCTAGGCCTGAATGCATTCCTCATCTCACTGTCAGCAGGGATTGCCTATTGGTAACCACATCAAATAATATGTGACCATGTACTACAAAGCAACTGTTACCTAACACATGGTGCACAATCTTGTCAACTTCTAAACCCCTTTTAGTCTCCTTGCATCTCACTCTCAGTAAATCTGTACCTCCAGCTTATTCAAGGCTCTTCCAAGAAGCCTGTACTATAACAAAAGATTTTAAAGGAACAAAACTAATGCAAAGATGCAAGATGCCTGAACTTAAACTCTGAGTGCTTTTTTTGAGCTTGAAACAGCTGAAATCAGGATCTCATATACAGTATATATACGATTTTGACTTAGGGCCAGGCCAATTGCTGAACAGCATGAATATAGCTGAAGGTTACAATACATATATATATGGATATATATGGATATAGCTAAAGGAAACAAAACAGCAGGCTTGCTAGCAACAGACAAGGTAAAACTGTCTCAAAGTGGGAAAAAGATCTTTGCACAGGAATTAGCAGGGCTCATAGAAAGAACTTTTAACTAAATTTGAAGGGAGAAAAGGATAAAACAAGGCTCACTAAAGATAAGCCTTGGGGCAGCACATCAGTGTCTTGTGTTAGCAAGATCCTTCAGCTCTGCTGTCTCAGTGGAGGTAGGGGATGAAAATCCACAAAGCAGCAAAGATGCAAGAGCAATTCATGTGTTAGAAACCATAGAAGCGCTTGAGAGGAGTCACGTAAGAGTTAGGGCTTCTCCCCAGAAAAGATGCTGGGATGAATAGAGCAACTGAAGTGCATTTACACCAATGCACATGGCATGGGCAATATGAGGAGCTGGAAGCCACTGTACAGCAAGGAAAGTATGACAGAATTGCCGTCATGGAAACATGGTGGGACAAGACACACAACTATAATACTGCAATGGATGGCTCAGAAAGGATAGGCAAGGAAGGGGAGATGGTGGGATAGGCCTATATGTTATGGGGTGTTTTGATTGTCTAGAGCTTAAGGATGATGAGAGAGGGGTTGAGTGTTTGTTGGGCAAGAACCAGAGGGAAGGCAAACATGGCAGGTATCACAGTAGGAGTTTGCTATAGACCACCCAACCAGGACGGAGAGGCAGATAAAATATTCTATAAATAGCTGAAAGAAGTCTCACAATAAACTCACCCTTGTTCTCGTGGGGGATTTCAACTTACCAGATGTCTGCTTGAAAAGCAACACAGCAGAGAGGAAACAGCTTAGGAGATTCCTGGAGTGTGAGGCACATAACTTCCTGACACAGCTGGTGAGGGAAGCTACCTGCTCAACCTCTTTTTTGGGAGTGGAGAAAGACTAGCAGGTGATGTGATGGTTGGAGGCCAACTTGGGTGTAGTGATCTCCAGATGACAAGAGTTTTTGATTCTTGGTGAAGTAAGGAAGGGGGTCAACATAATCTCTACCGTGGACTTCCAGAGGGCAGACTTTGGCCTGTTTAGGAGCCTGGATGTTAAGAGTCCCTTGGGAGGAAGTCCTGAGGGGCAACAGAGTCCAGGAAGGCTGGACATTCTTTAAGAAAAAACTCCTAAAGGCATAGGAGCAGGCTGGCCCCATGTGCTGAAAGATGAACCAGCAGGAAAGAAGATCAGCCTGCCTGAACAGAGAGATTTGGCTGGAACTCAGATAAAAAGGGAGAGCTTATAACCTTTGGAATAAAAGTCAGAAAACTCAGGAGGACTACAAGGATGTTGTGAGGTCATGAAGGGAGAAAATTACAAGGGCCAATGCCCAACAAGAACTTAATCCAGCTACTGCCATAAAGAACAATAAAAAATATTGCTTTAACTACGTTAACAACAAAAGAAGGGCTAAGGAAAAACTCCATTCTTGATTGGATGTGGGAAAAAGCATAGTGACAAACAATGAGGAAAAGGCTGAGATATTTAATGTCTTCTTTGCTGCGGTCTGTAAGAGTAACACCAGTTGTTCTCTTGTACCCAGCCCCCTGAGCTGGAAGGCAGAGGGACAAGGAGCAGAATGAAGCCTCCACAATTCAAGGCAACCTGCTACACCACTTAGACACACACAAGTTTATGGAGCCAGATGGGATCCACTCCAGGGTACTGGGGGAACTGGTGGAAAAGTCTGGCCATTTGCCAGTAGTCCTGGTCAACCAGGGAGGACCCAGCTGACTGGACATTAGAAGTCGTGATGCACACCTACAGGAAGAGTCAGAAGAAGGATCCAGGGAACTACAGGCCTGTAAGACAGACCTTGGTGCTGGGGAAGGTCATGGAGCAGATCATCTGTGTCATCATGCAGCACATACGGGACAACCAGGGGATCGGGCCCAGCCAGCATAGTATCAAAGGCAGGTCGTGCTTGACTGACCCAATCTCCTTCTGTAAAATGACCCACACAGTAGATGAAGGAAAGGCTGTGGATGTTGTCTACCTGGACTTCAGTAAAGTCTTAGACACCATTTCCCATAGCATTCTCCTGTAGGAACTGGCTGCTGTACTTTTCATTCAATAAAAAAACTGGCTGGTTGGCTGGGCCCAGAGAGTGCTGGTGAATAGAGTTAAAACCAGCTGGTAGCCAGTCACCAGCGATTTAGTCCAGGGCTCAGTATTAGCTAAGGGGATTGAGGGCACCCTCAGTCAGTTTGCAGATGACAAGCTGTAGGACAGGCTGGATCCGAGGCCAATTGTATGAGGCTCAATAAGGCAAAGTGACAGGTCCTGCACTTGGGTCACAACAACCCCATGCAGAGCTACAGGCTGGGGGAAGAGTGGCTGGAAAGCTGCTTGCAGAAAAGGACATGGGAGTGTTCGTGGACAGATAGCTGAACATGAGCCAGCAGTGTGCCTAGGTGGACAAGAAGGCCAATGGCATCCTCTCCTGTATCAGAAACAGTGTGACCAGTGGGACCATGGCAGTGATCATCCCCCTGTATTCAGCACTGGTAAGGCTGCACCTTGAATCATGTGTTCAGTTTTTGGGCCCTCACTACAAGATATTAAGATGCTGGACTGTGTCCAGAGAAGGGCCACAAAGCTGGTGAAGGGTCTGGAGCACAAGTCTTATGAGGAGCAGCTGGGGTTCTTAGCTTGGAGTAAAGAAGGCTCAGGGGGGAACTTACTGTTCTCTAGGACTGCCTGAAAGGAGGTTGTAACAAGGTGGAAGTTCAGTCTTTTCTCCCAGGTAACAATCACAGAATCATAGAATCAACTGGGTTGGAAGAGACCTCAAAGATCATCGAGTTCAACCCTGCCTTCGTTACTTGACCATGGCACAAAGTGCCACATCCAGTCACATCTTGAAAACCTCCAGGGATGGTAACAAGCAATATGATGATAGAACATGGCCTTGCGTTGCGCCAGGGGAGGTTTGGATTGGCTATTCCGAAAGTAATTTTCACAGAAAGGGTTGTCAACCATTGGAACAGGCTCCACAGGGAAGCGGTTGAGTCACCATCCCTGGAGTTAGTCAAAAGACATGTAAATGTGGTGTTTAGGGATGTGGTTTAGATTAATGGCTATACTCAATGATCTTCAAGGACTTCCAACCTAAACGATTTTATCATTCTTAATATGTGGCTTGGGAAGCAGGGATTAGGCTCTGGAGCAGATACATTTCAGGTGTCCATGTAGGTCACTTGTCCACCTTCTCTGATAGACTCTCCATGAAAATTATGACTTCTTGACAACAAAATGTGTCTCAATTTGACTCTGCTGTCTGACTTTCATTTATGACTACCCACATGTTACCCTCCTCAAGCACCTCTTTTTTCTCCTTCTGGCAGTATGTCTTTGTTGATAACCCTTAGTTCTGCAGGCAAATTTAATTATGCTGACTTTTCTGGGCTTCAGCCATAGCTCTCACAGGAAAAGAACCTAACAGCATAAAATGATCTTCCATTATCCTGTGCTATTTCTTGTTCAGGAGATGGATGGCACATCTTTCACAGCTTAAGGTCAACTCAAGATATATGAAAGAGTTCAGTAATATAGTAATTTTGTAAATCGTATACATTTATCCCACAATTTTAACTTGTGCATAGGTTTCCCAAACCATGACATGTGGACCCTCCTCCTTTATCTCCTGAGGAGCCTTAAGAAATTATTTTCGGATTTCTATGCTTGTATTTTTTCTCCTTACAGGAATGCTGTGAGTTTCAAAACTTGTAAACTGCTCTGAAATCCTCAGATATGAGGTATTGTATATGTGACACATTTATTGTTACTTAAATGACCAATTAACTCACACATTGAATTTGGATAGCAGAGTTCAAAATTGTCACATAATTAATGGTCATACAGTGATGAACTTCCCTGTTGGTCTCCTAGTTACTAAGTTATAACAAAAAAACCAAAAAGCATCCGATATTTTTATTTTCTTTCTTTAGCACATTAAGAATTTTTTTTAAAAGACACTGAAGAATTATACAGCGGTAAGGGGAAAATAATATGATTTGTATGTTGTAATACAGAGCGTAAAGTTATTGAAATCATCTGAAAACTTCCCACCATGTTGCTTAGGCTCCAAACCGAATAATTTCCAGGTATTTTACATGCAGTAAGTTATTGTAAAGTGTGGATCACTAAATTGGT